TCAGTTTTAGTTTTCTTCTCCTTTTCTTCAGTTTTAGTTTCTTCAGATTCATCTGTTTTTTTCTCTTCTTCTTCATTTTCACCTTCTAAAATTTAAATTAAAGAGAAATCAAATTATCGATTGATTTACCTGCAGGTTTTTCTTCTTCTTCATCAGCTTTCGTTTCTTCTAAAAATTAAAATAAAATTTAATAAATGGAATTTACTGGTTACCATTTTAATACTCACCTGTTTTCTCTTCGTTTTCATCTTTAGTTTTTTCGCCTTCGGCTTCTTCTATAAGACAGATACATATGTTAATATAAAGATTGATCAATCAATCATGCAAAATAAAATGAGTTAAATTGATTACCTTGAGTAGTTTCGTCTCCTTCTTCTTTATTTTCTTCATCATCAGCTGTTTTCTCTTCTTTTTCACCATCTTCAGCTTCTTCTTCTTCACCTTCTTTCTTCTCAGTTTCTCCCTCTTCTTCTTCGCCTTCTTTCTTTTCAGTTTCTCCTTCTTCTTCTTCACCTTCTTTCTTCTCAGTATCTTCTTCACCTTCAGCTTTTTCTTCTTCTGTTGCTTCTTCTTTTTCACCATTTTTACTTCGTTCAAGGGCATCGAATTCTTCTTGTGTAATTTGTTTAAGAAATAATAGTAATTTTTCATGTTCAATGGCTTGTAAAAAATCGATGTAATCTCCACAGCATTCATCTTCTTTAAAAATTTGTGGCAACAATATTTTACCTTCTTCAGTTTTTTTACCACTTTCAATAATAAAATCACGTTCTGTTTCATGTTCTGGTGCTGCTACATCAATTGCTTCATATTCAAATTTCCAAGAACTTAGTACAGAAAATACGTGAATTTGTCGTTTACGTATATCGCGACGACCCGTTGTAGAAATAAAGAAGACACGTAAAACCATTGTTATGTTTTATAGAAATAAATTTTAATTCTGAAGATAGAAAATTGAATTTTTATAATAGAATAAGAGAATTTGGTTTGTATTCTGCGGTGAATGGAATAATAAACAATCTAACAATATTTAATCATGGAGAAAAACATCACATTGTATGCGTTTCCAAGCGATTGTTTGTATCGTTATAGGACGAATCGTGAAGTAACTGGATGGAGAGAAAAGAGAAATAAGACAAAAAAAGCATACATAAGGAATAGCAATATTGTACTGTTCTGCTAGCAGTGGGTCTATGCCCTTCTTGTTCTTTTTCTTATACTATGTGTTACCAGATGGAGAGGATACAACTTCTGTTGTTTTCTTCTTCTTTTTTTCTTTCTTCTGTCGTCTAAGTCGATCTAATATCAACAACCCTATTTTTTTTTCTACGTAAAAAAGTCATCGCTATGGTATGATATCCTTCTACCACGGAATCGAATGGTTGCATGCAGCTATTGCTTGCTTATTATAAATATGTATATATTTTGAGAACAAACTCTTTTATGATGGATAGATAGTAGAATTATCAATGTATATTTTTGAAAAATAACTACGCTATTCTAGAAAATTATTTGATGTGATAAGGAAGTAAAATATTGAGTAGCTTCAATTCTGGAATGCACAAGAAAGAAAAGCCTAGTGCATAGGTCACAGATGACAATGATGAGATATTCTATTTTGAAGAGTAAAAGTCGCATGAAATTGCATTTAACATTTCAAGGAAAGTAAAGCTTGATATATTGGAAAAATTCAGACTAATAGAAATAGACATGCAAAATATATTCTTCAAACTTGTCCGATTTTATTGTCATTAAATTTTTATTCATTAATAACTATATTATTTTTACACAAAGTAATGGCTATATTATTATTATTATAATAAATAATTCATAGTAATAGAACAGCATCGTCGATCTTTCCAGATGATACATGAAACTTCGAGAATGTACTAAGACATTTTGCATATAGTTAAAAACCACAAGAACTAATAATAATTTGCCTTAGATTGCCATATGATATGTAGAAGATGAAATATACTATTTTGTCAAGTAAGCAATTTTATTTCTTTCAGTTCCTAACAAGTGTAAAAGAAAACAATATCATTATTATACAAAATATTCTTATTTCATAAGTAATATCAACATTTCTATTCTTTGACTTGTCTTCTAGTTACAATACATGATAAAAATCGACAACTGTCAGTTAACACTTGTATATTTCAATATATTAGAAACTGAAATAATAAATGTAAAAGAAAAAATTCTTTGGGTGAATATCAATTATCGAAAACCGACGACATCTTTCTCATGTTAACAATCATCTCTCATATTTTTAAAGACCAATAAAAGATCTCATGAATCACGTTATATTATTATGTTCATCATCATAGAAAAAAACCTATGAGAGAAGAACTAGAAATAATTTTATCTACTGAATTTCTTTTGTCATTTTTTATTCATATTATTTCGTTGCTATTATCTTAAATCAATTAATTATGCAGAATGCAAGTGCATCTAATACAACAGCTGACAATCTTGCTGTTCTTATTGATATGGGTTTTTCAGAACAACAATCAAGAGAAGTAAAAAAAAACAAAAAAAAAAAAAAAAGAAGCTTAATCTATTTTAATTATTTCCAAAAAAAAACAAAAAAAAATTAATTATTTAGGCATTACAACGAGTTGAAAATTTAGAAGATGCTATTGCATTTTTACTGAATGATCAACTTCAACCATCACCACCATCATCACCTGGTGTTTCACAAGTATTTTTTTTTTTATTTTTAATTAATTAAACTTAAAAATAGATTTAATATTTAATAATTTCTAGGCTGATACAAGTGATGATGAAGCATCTTATGCTACTAATCCACGTTGTATGCAATTTATAATTAATACAGGTCATCCACATTTATCATTTTCAGCTTGTTTATTAAATATAGCTCAAGCATCATTTGATCTTTATGATCAAATTATGTCACATCGTTCTCAATTATTATCATTTAAAACTTGGCATCATCATGGTGAACTTAAACAATTATTTGAATGTAATAATGGAAATCAATTACGAGAATTAAATCAACAATTTGAAATAGCATTAAAAGAAAATCAAATATGTACAGCATTAATTAATGATTCAAAATATCATGAACCAATTTGTTTAGCTGTATTTGGTATTGCATCATATCTTGAACAGTATACATCTCAATTAAAACGTTTAAATATGTGTCCAACAAAATTTTTTATTAATGATGATGATAATGATGAAAATATACATAATGATGGAAATAAGAGTGAAACAACAAAAAAACAGTAATGCTTTTACTTTTGTATATTGTTCATGTAGATATCTATATTTGCAATAGTCTTTAAATATATATATATATTATGTATTGACAGTTCAGTTTTTCTTTTATATTATGTGTATCTTATTGGATAAAATATATTTATGAAGAAAATTATTATATGAACAGAAGATAATATATTTTTGTGCAACCTGATACAGTTACATACGAAATGAAACATACATCTAATAGATTGCCTTGTTTTAATAGTTTATTAACTCAAAATATGGTATCTCAATGTCACGCATTTATTCTGCTTGACTATAAATACTAAAAATTGATCACCCATCATACATAAACATATGACGATATATTATAATTAAAAAAAATTCGTATTTAAGTTTTTTGACTGAAAAGTGCATTTTTTTTACAATGTTTTGACATATAGCAAGTAAGTGATACTTCGCTATGCTATTTTTAAAATTTGTCGTTCTGTTGAAAATGATGAAATGCACACAACCATATCTTCATCCATTTTCACGTACGGTATATGATTAATTTTCAGCGCTACTCTACGTGCTGGTTTTCAAATTATGAATTTTCAATCGTTTGAATAGCAAAAAAGAATTTGATGGACGATTTTTTTTTCAAAAAATCAATTAAATGAAAGTTTTTTCTAATGTTTCAGTACTTTGGTCTCAAAAAAAAAAAAAGAATGTCTACGATGATTTTTTATTTAAAAGAAAAAGTTTGTGCTCTTATAGGCTAGACGACTTGATGAAAACAGGTATTTCATCTTGATTTATTTGTATTAGATATTGCATTATAATTGAAACCTTCAGTCGTAGTGAAAACTAAAAGATAATGATTAATTGCATGTTTGAGAAGAGGAGTGCAGTAGCAATCTATGATGTTTTATACATATAAAGTAATGTATAAAAATCATCAGAATGATACACATATAAATCATTCAACAACAATCATAGACAGATCAGCGTTTTATATTGAAGTATGGCAATAACCTTTCGATGGTCTGCTGTTGATAAGAATCATTTTTTATGAAAGATTTCTAATTCTTCTGTATATTCATTTCATAAAATGTATCTTATTCGAATAAACTCTAAATGCTAACGACCTCTAATAAATCATCAATATGAAAAAAAAATCTTGTACAAATAACTAATGTCATCTATTGAAATTTGTTACTCGAATTAATATTTTTACTTAGATGCGGTAAAACATAGACTCTTCCATATTGTCGTGATTTAGTTGAGATACAAATTCTTTATTTAAAGTTGAAATTATTTTGAATAAAATGCTTTTTGGACGATCATCTGATAAAACACCAGCTGCACCAGTTGCACCTGCTGGTCCTAGCTTTGAAGATCAAATACCAACTGTAATTTGAAAAAAATTCAATCTTTTCTCTAAAATCTTTTGTTTTTGTTTTTCTTTTTTTTCAAAATTAGTTACGAGAATTTCTTCGTGAATATAATCGTATTGCTGAAGTTTGTTTCAATGATTGCATCAATGATTTTACAGGTCGAACAACAACAACATCTGAAGTAATGTTTTTTTTTATCGAATTCGTATTGTATAAAAAATTTTTTTATTATTTAGATTTCGTGTGTTAATAATTGTTTGGAAAAATTTCTCAAAGTAACACAACGTATTTCACAACGTTTTCAAGAACAACAAATGCTAATGAATGAAACTCAAGTTGTTGCTGGAAAGGCTAAAGGTCTTTTTCAATAAATATTTGCTTTTATTGAATTTCGTTTTCTACGTGATGACAATGATGTTATACTTGAAGTTATTGATCGATCGAGTGAACGCGATTCTTTTAAATTTTCTAAAAAAACAAAAACGTTGCACTAGAAAGTTTTTTTTTTATAGTGTGAACCCTTATCAGAATTTTGTTGAGCATTTTCTTCACCATCATAATGTCGAATAATAGGAGATATTTGATGATCCTAATTAAAATGAATAGAATTAGAAAAGAATATTGATTAAGAAAACTTACATTTTCATCAATTGATTCTCTTGTAATAGTTTTGATAGTTTTTGATATTAAATCAAATACATATTGAAGACGTTCAATAAAATCAATTGGTGGTTCGATAGTAAACTAAATCAAATTTTGTTAATTAGATTTTATCAATTTTAAAAATATGTACCTGTGTACCAATATGTTCACAAAGAACTTTGGATAAGACTAAAATAAAATCATTAATTTGACGTAAAATACGATTTTGATCTTCAACTGTATCATTGATATAGAATGATTCTAAATTTTGTCGTTGTTCAATCATTGTATTTAAAATTTTATGACGACTATTGAAAAAAGAATATTTATTTTTCTTTTTTAAATTGTTAAAATTAATTTACGTATCATTTTTAAGACTCATAGACATTTCTATTAATTTTACAAGTTTATCCATTCGATTTATTTTTTGATTAAGTTGTTCTTTTTCTTCCATCATTCGATTTGTCATTGTTAACACTAAAATTCAAAATAATTATTATTTGTAATTTAATCATCTATTATAAACTCATACTAGCAATAATTTTAGCAGATACTTCATTGGTAACTATTTTTAATTGTTCTGAATTCTATTGATAAACAAAAATACAAAAATTTGTTTTATAACAGTATAATCTTACAGCAATATCAATTGGAAATCCAGCCATAATAATATTATAAAATTGATCATACATACAACGAACTTGAACTATTTCATCACTATTCATGATAGTTAATTTCTTTTGTTGTAAATTTTTTATTGGATCAGTATCATTAGTAAATTTTCGTGATTCAAATGAAGTTGTCATCTCATTGACAGCTACAAATAATAAAAACATCCAGCATTTGACGTTCGAATATATAATTCAAAAAATGTTTTCAATCTATACAGTGGAAGTCTATATTCTCGATTTTTTTTACATCTCAAGCGTCTAATGAGCAATTAATTTCTTGCAACAGTTTTAAGCATATTATTTTAAAAATCATATGCTTGCGAACATAATTCAAAAGTAATGATTCAAAACAGTGCTACTCGCTGACTGAATAGAAAAAAAAAGACTATTTGCATTAGCAACGTATTCTTTCAATTGAACATCTTGCTTTAGAATTTCACAGGAAAGTTTCTGTACATTGAAAGTAATGCTAAACATCGATATTGTTATTTCTGTTACCCATCATCTGCATTTGATATTGATCTTCTAATTGTTCACTGACAGAGACCATGGCTTGTTCATGTATAGCACGTCGTTGTCGGCTCTATAAAATACAACGATTAAAATGTAATTATGTTTTTTTAAAATTAACTTGAGCTTCAGTATGATCTAATAACTGTTGATAAACTTTCTAATATACAGAGTAACAATGATTGTTCAGATCATTGATATATAAAATAAATCCTACTAAACGTCGTTTATTTTCAGCAACAATATCTGTAAATTCTTTTTTAAGAAGCATTCTTTGATGAAATTTATGTCCAATATCTTTGTGTACATTTGGTAATTCTTTTCGAAGTAAATCTAAATCCTAATATTGAATAATATAGATTGATATAAATTATGTTTGTATATGAAAATTACACATTGTAAATATTGTTTACAAAGATTTAATGTTTTATTAATTAATTGAACGCTTTTTAATCGATCTTGTTTTTCACGAATACGACGTGTCACTATTTTAGTATCCTACAGTTAATAATCAACCTCATAAAACAAAGAAACATCTATATAGTCTATATTTTTACTTGAATCTGTTTGATAGGTAATGAAAATAATTTATTATCGTTTTCATCATAACGTCTTTGATCACGTAAAGATTCAAGACGATTGTGTAAACGTTGTTGAATAAATAAAAGTTCATTATGTTGTTGCATTGTTCGATTTCGTTTATCATGTATAGAATCCATTCCTTCCTAGAATATTTTCTTTAGATTACATTATATGAATAAATATTGCGAACCTTACAACAATCGTCATATATTTTTTTTGAAAATTGATTGATGATTATCTTATGATAAATATACAAAAAAAAATATAGTTTCAATAAAATAAAATACAAAACCTTTTCTGAAGGAATAATTAGTTTTTTTCTCAAATCATTATTGAACAATTCTGTATTATGTCTTTCAGTTTTAATGTTGGTCAATCGATCTGTTTGATCACCCAATAAACAATATTCGACATTTTCTTTAAATATACATGATTATAGATTATCTATAAATAAATATTGAAATATTTACTGAGCCATGCAACACGATTTCGCAGATCAAATACTCGATCAGCAATATCTATTGATGGTTTATGTATGCGAGTATCACATCTAGAAGAAGATCAATAAAGTAAAAAAAGCCAATATATTTGCTACTCACCCAAGACGTGGCATAGTAATTAAACGCAAAAGAAAACTAAAATAATTCTTCGATTAAATAAGTTTCCATGGCTTTTAACTAAAATACTATTATAATTTCTTCATTGTACTTAAAATAAGTTCAAATTAAGATCTATTCTAAAATTTTTATTTGTTCTTTTCGTACTTAAAATAATTTAGTATAAAACAAGCCAACTACTCTTGTGCACAACAGATGACCTTTGTCACTATCCATATATTTAATTGATATAATATTTCCAGTAATATCATGAAAATATTCAATAGCTACACAACAACAGAATAAAATCATAATTTTATACATGTTCTAGGAATACAATGAGAAAAACGACATTGAAAGATCTTAAAAACATTGTGGAACAATTGAAGGATAATGGTTTTTCATCGTAGAAAATTGTTCAGCAAGTATATGATTAAATAAATAGAAAATTTGAGTTGAAACTAGTAGTATTGTAGGGATAGTAAACTTATAAGTTATTTACCAGAGTTAACGAAATGATCATGTTCAAATGTCATCTAACACGATTGATACTCAAGAAAATAAGAATAGTCTTTTATATCTCAGTGTGAATATCATTCAGAAAAAAAAAAAGATTATTCAAAATTTTGTCTACTGGTGCCGCTAGTCAATAAGAAGCAACTGAATACAAAAGAAATACGAAAACTATAGAACTCGTTTATATTTTCGACAATATTTTGATTAAAGCCTATGAGACAATAATAAAAAAGAAATTCAGTTCTGTTAATGAGCGCTATTCTTTTTTTTTGTTTCTATTTATTACTTGACAACCTTGAAATTTCATTTTATAAATCTTTACTTGTGTTTGTATTTGTTCGAATTTTCAATCGATATTCAAAAAGAAAATCAATTTATTAACACAAAGTAAAATAATAAAATATGTTGATAGATTATTCAATCATAAAATTTTACTTAGTATGCCTCCAAAACGACAACGAAATGAAAAAAGCACACTACAACATCAAAATCTTAGTGATATGGTAAATACACCTTCTTTTTCTTTCAACTTCATATTGAATTATGCTTTCTTGTATGCAAGGAAAACAATATTCATCGTGGTATAAATGACGTAAGTTTATAAAACTAAAGTTTAGATTTTATTATCTTATGTTATATAATTTTTAGGCGACAGCAACGGCAACAGCTGGAACTGATAAAAGTATGCAATATAATATTAGTCAAGTTTAAAAATGATTTGATATTCTAGTTGGAAAAAATATAAAACAAGCTGAAAATAATACTAAACAACAAATACAACAAGGTCAAAATGAATTAGAACATAGTCTACCATCAGTTAAAGAAAATAGTACGAAAATTAAAACATAAATTGGAGTAAAATTTTCAATTTTTTTTTATTTCTAGCGACTGACTCAATCAAAGGAGCAAAAAACGAAGTCGGAAAGGCTTTACAGACAGGTACGTATATAATATAAAAACAGAATTGATTTTGAAATGATTTTTTTATTCATTTACGATAGGTGCAAATGAAATTAATAATGTTGGAAAATGTGTAACGAAAGGAGCAAAGGAAGCCGTTGATAAAAGTAAGTGAATCCATGTCTATTTAAACTAAAGTAATATATTACACGAGAAATATTTACTTACTAATAAATTATACATCCATTTAGGATTGTTTTTTTAAATAACGAGCTTTTCTCCTTTCAAACGCTTCAGAATATTAAGGAACAATAAGTTTCTGACAATTATCATGTAGATTGATTGCAAAGTTGTACCTTAAATCTATGATCTGTTTAGCTGTTGAAGACATCAAAGACACAGTGAATCAAACCAAAGATGTTGTTACTGACAAAGTCAACGTAGCCAAGGATAAACTCAATAACGGTACTCAAAATGTCAAAGATAATGTTGCAAAAGGTAAGTACAGTTCTTTAGAAAGAAAAATATTAAATGTATAGCTATGTAGAAATACATTTTCTGAGTAGGGTTATTCTAGAAAAGAAATGTCATTTGTTATTTTGGTTTTTTGGTTTACAAACTCTAAAACAGATATCAATATGTAATTCCAATGTGTCTGTTCTTTGTTTGGCAGTCAAAAACATCTAATGACGATGCCGATTAAACTAAAGACATGGCTAGAAATGCGGGAAAATTTGCGAATGATGTAAAGAATTCGTTTGTTTTCGGTTAGCTAATAGAAGACATAGAAAACTGTGATAACAGTTTAATGCAATCGACTAATCATTGTTTAGAAACTAAAGATACAGGTAATTCAAAAACGAACGCTACTAATGACGCTTGAGATGAAACAAAAAGGTAGCTGAAAAAAAATAAAGAATAGTGTACTGATAAATCATTCCACACATACACATATATAAAAAATCGAACCAAATCTCGATTTAAACGTTCCTGATAAAATTATTTCTTTTCGCATCATATCAATATTTATATTGTTATTGTAGGTTCAGATGGTATGAAACATGCGACAGACACTGTAACCGGAAAAACTCGTGAATTTGCTCAAGGTGCTGCTGATAAAAGCAAAAAAACTGGAAATAAAGCATCGCACGGATTTTCATCACTTCGTAAATCAATCGAAGGTATTTTTCATTGAAACCAATTATCATCCTGGTTTAATTTATTATCTAATCTCAAACAATCGTTTTTATTTCTAATTATAATAAATCATGCGAATAAATAAATTATTAAAACAGATCAGTTTTTTAATTGGTTAAAACTTTTAAGATCCAAGCAATAATAATGTTTCTAATGAATTCATTCATGAATGCTTTGACTTTATTTAAAATACATTAAATATTCATATTTGTTGTGTAAAATATTTCCATCTAGCCAATAAATCGAGAATGTAAAAGATATGCAAAAAACTGAGAGTAAGAGAGATAACTTTATGAACGCGTCATATGTAAGAGATGTTGCATCTTCGATTTAATCTATCAAAATTAAAGTATGATTGTGACTTATTGTATTTTGTTAAACATGAAAAATATCCCATTAGCTAAAAACTGAAAATATCATTTTTCTGTAAATAGTTTATATATGAATATTAAAGAATATCATGCATCTCGAATAAAAGTATATTTATTACAGAAATTTACTTTAATGTTTTATTGTCCTTCATGTTTAACATTGAAACGTCTCTTCAATGTTATATAACTACATAACATTAAATAAAAACCTTCTAATGAAACTAATTCTCTCAATTGTAATTTATTTTCCATTTCTTTTTGTCTTTTATGTAATTGATTTAAACTATTTCGTATGTGTTCAATATCAAATATATAATCTAAATCTTGAATATCTTTTGAATTCAATGTATCTTGCATATATTGATAAACTTTCGAATTTCGATCTAAAAATGTTGGTGGTGCTAAAAATGGATGTTTTTCTCGTTGATATATTTCATTTGTTATATATGGTCGTCCGACTTGTCTTAAAATATATTTTTCTAATAATTTACCATTGATTAATTTTAATTTCATATTTGTTGGTAAATGATTCACATAATCAACTAAATAATGATCTAAATATGGTGTACGTCCTTCAACAGAATGTGCCATTTCTGATCGATCACCAAATACTTTTAAAAGTATATTGAGGAGACTTTTTTTTATTGAAAGATATTCCGTTGAATGAGCACGTGTTATTTTATAATTAAGCATTTGTTGTTTTATATGATAATCATATAAATATGATTGATTATAATAGAAACTATTTAAAGGAAAATCTCGATATTTTTCTTGTAATCGTTGTGCAAAACATTTTTGTGTTAATAGAGATGGTGGACTTGCATCCGATGGTACATAACCAATTGTTTGTATCGCATCCATTTCATATAACTTATTTTTCTCAGTACTTGAACGACTCAATAGATTAGATAATAAAGATTTTAATAAATGTTTACGTTCTTCTTCATTAATATCTGCATTTACTATTGGATCATTTTGAATATCATGAAGAAGATAATCTTGACGAAAAAAAGAATAGCTAAAAAGAAGAAAATAAATTTTTATTTAATTGTTAGTCTAATTCAAATTTCGATGAAAACTGATTAGATAAAATTTAAAATTTCACTTTCGTTATGCCAAAGTATCAGTAAGTTACTTTTCAATATTTTAATAGGAATAGGAGTGTGCAGTTTCAGTTTACTAACTACCGAAGTCACCAAAACAGTATAGTTAATGTACAATGAAGTACTAGACAGCACCAATACAAAAAGGGTATATTTTGATAGAGTTGGTGTCTTATTGTTGCTGCGAACACACAGATTAGCGTAGTCATTAATTCAGTGAACACTGATGCCAGTATAATCAGTGCATCAGTGAATCTTGTCTCGATTACTCACTATCAATATTTACATCAATACTATGCATGCCTAAATATGAATTCTGATTAAAAATTCTAATTAGTTTGATTCTATAGAAAAACTTCAAGAAACATACCCAGCAAATATTTCATCACTTCCTTCACCAGTCAAAACAACTTTTCCTTTATTATCATTAACTAATTTTGATAATAAAAATTTTCCTACTGGACTCAATTGCACTAATGGATATTCATAATGATATATACAATCATCAATATAATCAGCTAATTCATTATGTGTTAATTCTATAATATATGGTTTTGTTTTTTCTCGTAAAAATTCATTTGTACGAATACATAAACTTTGCTCATTAAAATAATGATGATCTTTAAATGATATTGAATACGTATTAATTGGTTTATTTGTGAATGTAGTTGCCATGCCTAATAATACAGATGAATCTAAACCACCAGATAAATAAACACCAACTGTAACATCAGCTCTCATACGAAGACGAACAGCTTCTAGTAAACGTTGATGTACACCATCAATCATTTCGTGTTCAGTACGTTTTTCTTTTTTTTCTTCTTCACGAGTTATATAAGTTAAATCATAATATTTTGATATATTTATTGTACCATTATCTGTAGCTATTAATAGATGACCGGGTGGTAATTGTTGAATATTTTTATATATTGTTTGTAAACTACGAAGTTGTCCCATATTGTATATGACTTCTTCATTCAAATGGCTGGAACACTAAAATAACAATAGACAAATGTATTAAGACTAGGTTAGTTTAATAAATTACCCAAAAGCAAATAATGCTTTAATTTCTGAAGCAAATAATAATTTATTTTCAAAATAAGTATAATATAATGGTTTAATACCAAATCGATCTCGTACGGCAATAAATATCTGTATATAAATTTTCATTATAAATAATATCAAATTTTATCAACATACTTTTCGTTGTTCATCATACATTGTTATAGCGAATTCTCCTCTTAAATAATTCACAAATGTTAAACCATATTTTCGATATAAATACATAGCTATTTCACTATCACTTTTACTTGTAAATTGATAGTTATCATTTTCAATAGCTTCTTGTCGTATACGATCATGATCATATAGTTCACCATTCATAGATAAATGTAGTTTTGTATCAAATGAATGTAATGGCTGTCGACCATGTTCACTAAGATCAATAATAGCTAGACGTGTATGACCGAGACCAACTGTATTCTCTTGATTTATCCAGAATGATGGTAATTCATCGGGACCACGATGTTTTAAAGTACGTAAACCATTTAATAATGACTGTTGATCTTTTTCAAAACATTTATTCGAAGATGGGGAATAATAAAAATAAGATAGAACACCACATTTTAATTGATAAGTTGTATGAAATGAACGACGAATAAATTGAATATATGCTAGTTTATTAAAAATATTAACTATCATAATCTATTTTTTTTATTGTTCGTAGAACACAATTAATATCTGTGAAGAGAAAGAGATGATAAGACAGTCAAATTATATTAAATCTACTTTGGTTTTTCATTGATATATTAAAAAAAGCGTAACAATATCACATAAAACTGAAGACAAACGATAGAAGTAAGTCGATTCTTTTTCTCTGTACACGTGCGCATATTACTTTAAGAGACAGTAACCTTTAAAAATCGCACAGGTGAACAGAATAGAAAGGATGACCTCATTTCATGTCTTTTTTTTCTTTTTGCTGTTCTTCTTTTCTAAAATACTTATTTAAATTCAAAATAATAAGATGAAAAGAAAAAAAAGAAAAAAATTTGTGTTTTAAATAGTAGTCTAACAGCTTTCTGATGTTGTCATTCTCGTAATACCATATACTCAGTTTTTAAAATGTATTTTCTTTTTTATACCATATTACAGAAGGAATATTTTCAATGTATTTCCGTAGTTTATTCGTATCATAAGAAATATTTGAATAATATAAAGTTAAACATTTGTCTTGCAATTAATACACAATAAGAATCTGTTAACTAATGATTGGTCTAACGGATTAATACAAAATGTATTTATTGGAAAACCTAAACACACGAGCAAGAAAACATGAAGATAAGGAAAAATATTTGAACTATTCACATCAAAAGAAGAGAATGTGTTGCAAAATGTTTAAATGAAGAGAGAAGAAAGTAGTAAAGATATGTAGATATGTATGTCAGTCATCTGTCTGACTAAACAAACAAATGGATGCAAACAAGAAATATGAAACGCGAATGAATCACATAATAACACATAATGTTCTATCTATCAGTCATGTGAAGTGAGCCAAACTTGACGTCAGTCAAAATCTAATCCATGAATTCATGTTATACTTTTTTCACATGTTACAGAATTATCATTAAATATTGTCAGCTGACAATGAACTATTTTCAAGAAATTTTGAATAATCTATTTCTTTATCTGTTAGTGCAATATAATTTAAGAAAAATATTATCTGAAGCTACTTGGTCATAAAAATAATTATATTGTATTTATCTTATTAGAGCAGCTTCTTACGAAGTGTAATACATTTCAGTACCTGTTTTGATAGTGATATTTTCTATTGTTTTCTATTAGATTTGATGTTCATTAACTTTTTTTCGAAATTTAAAGAAACAGAAAATAAAGTATATCTTTAAAGTGACAGAAAGATCAAATTTTTTTGATTTTTCCTTACACATAATGCGAGCAAAGTTATTATCAAAAATCAGTCTTTAATATTACTTTTCATTTTTCTTGAAAGAAAATATTGCATCATTTCGTACAGACAATTATAAAGGTCAATAAGAAGTAGTTGTTTCGACTACCTTACGTTTTGTGGCGATATGTTAATATTAGAGGCCAAAAAAAGAAAACTTTTTCATTGGCCGTTCCACCTCGCTGTGTCTTCATAAGATGTTCGTACCTTTTGATCATGCCATCTATTTAACTACACATTAAAATAAAGTACACACAAGAGTATAATAAAAAAAACCACTAGAGATCATCATTTCAATTTTCTACTTTATTATTATCCATTGAATGAAGTAATAAGCATCTTCGTTCAGCATCTGAGCATAGATACTCAACGACTACTGTTTAATCTCAAGCAAGAGACATTTAGAAAAATGAAAAAGTGAAAAGTGATCGAACGAATAACCGTCATCGACAATGAATCAACACGAAAGTTAATAGATTCGTGTATTATAGCTGAGAAAATCTTAATTGGAGAACAATTTTTGCTTAATCAAGAATTTTAATATTCACCCGCAAAAGTA